GACAATCACTGGTCCAACCCATAGAATTATTTTTGCATGTTGAATACAACTATTACATTACTATTGCTGTTACTAAACTAAAAAATGGAAATTCCTTTTTTTTAATCTTTGAAATTTGGGTTTGCTTTGTAAGTAAAAAGAAGCTGTTATTATAGCTGTATGTTTTTCACATCAAAGGCGTGAGAAATAGTGGATGTTTTCAGTGCATATTTAAATTGTGGATTTAGTATAATGGTTTTCAATCCTGTTTTTCCTGTAACATCTCAGTGTATAACAGACACATTCATTAGTAATAGTAACTCACTAAGGCTATGGTTCTCAAATCTGGAGAGTGGATCGTAGATAGGCAAGTGGATTTAAGAACCCCTGAGGAAGGTTGTTTACTCTGGAAAAAGAAATATGGAAAGGTTGAAATTCTTACCCATTCAGAAGCTGGAGTGGCAAGTTGGATAATTTACCATAAGGAAGTCTATTTCCCATTTAAATGTGAAAATTACTAGCATCAATAGGATTATTCTATAAATTTCCCCATCTCCATTCACAATCCTTATGCCCATGTAAAGATAATTATAGCTTCCTGTGCCAACTATTTGTGCAGCTTTGTTAATAATAAATGAATATCTGTCATTTTGAATAGAAAACAAAACATTGATACGAGAAGTTGCAAAGGACTAAAATAGGCTGTGGCTTAGAATTCATTCTTCCTTCAGAATATGAAACAAATATTCATTGTAGTCTAAGCTATAGAGACATTCCTTTACATTTTGATATTTTACAGACATAGGTAAATTATGTTCTTCATTTAAACAAGTTAATAAGCTTACCCAGGGTAGCCAAAAAAATATACTCAATCATACTTTAATATTTCTCTTTTGCTAAAAAGCATTCTGTGCCACTACTGAACAGACCAAGCCCTTACATTACTTGTCTTCAATAAAACGTTATTATCTTTTGGCATCCCCTTGTACTAGGGGAAATAAAAAGTCACATGTGGAGAAGTTCTAAATGCTAGACAGAAATGATCCTTGGAGGGCAATTTTTATCCTCCACGGAAGTATTGCAGACTTCTTCCATTAGCATAGTCCCAGGGAGCAAAAGGTTAGGGAACTGGGACCGCCAGCTCTACCTGAACACATAAGTCAACATTTCCTCCAAGCAGCGAGGGAGTGTGAGAGTGCACCCACATGTGCATTAAAGTATCTGAGACGAGAAACAACAATTGTAATATTTTACATTGGAATATACTGTACAGATGGTGACATTTTGTTTGTGGTTGTAGGGAAGAAAGTAAGGCAGTTTCCAGATCCCACCCCCCCACCCCCAACACCTACCATTTGGCATTGGATATAGGAGGTTGAAGAAAAAGGAGAGATTTTTGCCTCAGTTGAAACAGCTGGGAAACAGATGGAAGCTGGTGTGCAATTTGCCAAAAGCCTTGTCCAAGTCTCCCACCCATTTTCCACCAAAGAAAAGCCAGTCAGGTGACAGTAGTAGAAGCCTTAGGGTCAGCAAATGATGGGCTTCAGGAAGTGCAAGAAAAAAAATTAATCAAAGGTATAGTAAATACAAGTCCAGAATTATAGTCCCAAGGAGCATGTTTTCAATAGCACAGAAAAAGTGGGAGCAAACCTGGTGAAAACCACAACAGAAACACAGATACACAGATGAAAGTGTCCACCGAATTAATTGATGTTGGTGCTGCCTCAATTACATTGGCATTCTCTCTCTTAGGTGATGAATTAAGGAAGCACACACCCACTCTTTATCATGTTAGTTACAGTATAATTATTCCATGTGTGATTATGGTAAATTTAAGTATGCACAGTTCACATTGTTTTAGTCACTGGATTTTACTATGAGCTACTTTGGTTTGGAATTCAAGCATTCAATAAATTGCTTTTGGTTTTAAATGTTGAATTATAGCCAGACTTTTGTTTAAATTCAGTCACTGGATGTATAAACCTCCTGTTGTATATTTCTAGTTAGAATGGGCATGTATATAGATCTACTCAAGTGACCATTCGTAACAAGCATTGGCCCAAATTTTGTGTGCTTTTAATTTGTGTGTGTGTGTGTGTGTGTGTGTGTGTGTGTGTG